TTTTCCCGGAAAGTGTGCGAGTGAGGACAAAGCACACTGGAAAGCCTGGTGGTGGTCTGTGGGGACAGTCAACGGTCCCTGCGAGTTGCTGGGACGTTACAATGGTCAATATGTGTTACTTCTTTTATCATAATAAATAGTAATAAAATTATTATTATTATAAAAATAAATTTTATATTTTTATTGTAATTGATTTTATTTATTTTATAGAATTTTTTTAACATAGATAGTTCTTTTAGTTTAACAAAGTAATTAATTTTGAAAATATGGTCAAATAAAAGAACAGTTAAATTTTAAATAATAATTAGTTAATGTAACGTTCCATTTTAATAGTATAAAACTATTAATTAGTACAAAAGTTGTCAACGTCGAATATTTTGGGCTTTTAACGGCGAATTCGCGAACGACGTCATATCAGGAGACGTTAAATTGACATCGAATTTAAAAAATTTGAGGTTAAACTAACGTCGAATTTTGTCAATATACGACGTTAATCAATTTTTTATTGTTTTTTTAATTAATTGTGATACTTTTTCCAACTCTACGAGTTCTGAAAAGCAAAAAAACAACAAATTTCAGTTTTTGGTATTTTATAAAGTAAGAACTATGAACGTAGTATCAACAACAAACAATAATAACCAACAACAAACAAGTTCAATCAAACAACAACATCAAACAAGTTCAACAAAAAAAAACAACTAACAAGTTCAACAGATAAATCTTCAAAGTGAAAACGAAAACTAACCTTCAAAAGATGGGTTAGTCGGAATAAAGTGTCATCATCAGTGACAAAGAAAGTAGAATGCGCCTATGAAAGACAAGAGCACGAAAATAATCGGTCAAAACAAACGAAAATCATACATAAAGTAGTTAATTAACATGCATTTGTATCAAATGAAAGAAATATTACATTTGATGGTCGTCAAACTTCGTTCGAGAAAAGTTTGAGAAGAGAAGAGTGTCTCGTGCTAGGATAAAGTGAATGAGTTTTCAATCTCCCACCTAAATTTTTATTGAATTCACTAACCTTTTAACGTCTAACGCTGGGCCATTCGACGTTTTATATCCTTTTACGTCGAATTATAATTCTAAACGACGTTTAATAATTGCATTTATTTACAAAAATGTCATAGGTCATTTTTAACGTTGGCTATTTAGTGTTTGGACGTTGAACGCATGACGTTATATGTTGTTTTTGTACTAGTGTAAAACGTTACATATATGATAATAGAATTACTTATATGAAAACAAACCTACAAGAAGACAATATATCTACCTCTATAGATCCATCTACCACTCATCTGTCTCGCCCTCATCTCTCGTTGGAACAACTGAAAGGACTGTATCCCTAAGCTCACATCATTTAAGTTATCATCGCAAAAGAGAAAACAACACACAACAGACAACACAAAAGCAAGGGTAAGCTAGATACAAGAAAAGCATCAGATAATAATTTGGTTTAACTATTAACAACATTCAAGAACAAGCAATTCATACAACCACAAGACCATTATACTCACTTATCCGGATATAATGCTGATATAGACTACTGCAGGCATGCACTCATGATAGTATTTATACTCTGCAGAGTTATAAACAAGGGCAACTTGACCTACTCACCATAAGGTAAATCTTCTACTCCTAAAACCCAGAGGGCTTAGGTGAAGACATCCTGCCATTCTCTCTGTCACCCCATTCAACTCTACATGAGTTAAATGGTTGGTAGAATATCAAGATACCTGGGTACCGTAGTCTTTCTATCAAGCATTCTCTTACAACTTGCTATAATATAGGATCTCTCCTTGAGATTCTTCTCATAACACATTTTTCTCATATTACATTACACACCACTTTCATTCTCATATAAACCATATATTTATATATACATTGCATACAGCATGGATCCATTTGAAACCATATACATATAACCTTTCACTTTTACCTTGCATACAAACATATATAACATTGATTATACTTCAAAGAACCATAAACAATCCCAACAAGTCATCAAAAATCACATGAAACCATTTTGTATACATTAATACACAAGAACAACCCAAGAAGAACCGCTAAACAACACAAAACTCTTTTAAAATCAAACTTAGGTAAGGAAAATAGCTTTGAAGCCCTCACTAATAGCTCCAAAAGGGTCCAAAACCCCCAAAACGCCTTAAGGAGCATCCAAAACGGACACCCGAAACCCTGAAAACCGTCCAAAACTATTACAGCATCGCCCAATAGCGCCTAAGCGCTTAGCGCTGGTTTTCAGCTCCCCTGAGCGCAACTTTCGCATTTTCAGCGCTCAGCGCCCAATTTAGGCACACGGCGCTATCAGTAAAATTAAGACTCAATTTTCTCACTTTGAACACTTTACCGCCAACTTCTAAAGATCCTTACGACCCTTCAGACCTTGTGAAAACTCTGCAAACACTACTGCAACTCAAATTGACACTTAAAAACCCAATTTCACTCCTATAAGCTACCCAAATAAAATTCTACACTTTCTAACCTTTATATCAGTTTACAAACTGCACAACCAAGTATAAATACACTTGTTAGCACCCTCCAACAACTCAGTTTCATCCCAACCTTCCTAGTTTACCTTCCCATCACTTAAAACCTCTAAAATGACTGAAGAACTCAACCTATGAAACACTTTTCACTTCTATGACAAATTTTTCTGATTTAAACCTAAACAAGTCCTAATTGGTCTCCTAACTTACCAAAAACTCTCCAAAATAGTTTACAATCCTTCCCTCACAATTTCACTACTCAAAACCCAAAGTTAGAACAAAAACATGTAAAAACTCACTCATAAATCATTCAAAACCTCTGATACCATATTTTATTGGTTTGAAAGCTTACATAAGTCCTAAATGACTTCCCAAATGACCTCAAACTGTTGTACCCTTCAATTAACTAATTCCTAAAAAATTCACCTATCAACACCCTCTTTTTATGCTTAAAACTCAAGTAACCGACTCTTTTTCAATTTTACTCCTTTGCTTTCCATTTCAAACAATTTAACATCTCCATCATACACAGTCAAAACTGTAGAAACATTTAAACATTCAAACATCATTTAATCATTTATCATCATGACGAAAAATAGTAGAAACATCAACTTATAAATTATTATTCAAATCAATTTATCATTCAATTAGACCATAAATTTCACACTACAAACATAATCTATAAAGTCTAGCTTCCCTTACCTCACAGTAAATCGTCCTACTCGAAGAACGTTCCGCCGATTGCTTAAAATGCAAGGAATCTCTAGACGAACCTACGAAACACCAAATTGGAAACAAGCATAATCCTTAGAACTCTAGGCGAACCAAGAATGACTAGAAGAACCATGATTACACATGTAATAGTACTAGATTATTCTATAACATATTTGGGAACGAAAGGAGAAAAATGAGTCAAAACTTACTTGCTCTATTCTTGAAATTGATCGGCTAGATTTGTAGACCTTAACGTCGTGATCGTAAATACTCATCGGGATCGTGAAACAGATGACTTAGGAGCAAGAACACTTAGAGAGAAGGTAGAGAACTCTAAAAAAGTGATTTCTAAAAAGATGACACGTTTTAAAATAATGAAAATCGTTTATAAAAAAACTATATATAACTAAACCATTTAATATTAAAATAACTGAGTCTCACTATTTCTAAACTATCATCACCTCTAAAATATTATTTTCTAGGATCTTACCATTAAAAGGTAAAATAGTAAAATAATAAATTTAATTTTAAAAATCATATATAAAAAGTAAAATAGAAATACAAAAAAGATGAACCCTTTTATACCAAAAATGGTATAACAGAAATAGATAGTATAAATAAAATCAGTAGTATAACGAGTATAAAAAAGAGTTACTGAACAGATACAAAATGAAAAGAACATATTAATATTTATGTAGTTATCTCTTCAAATTAAATTTGAATTTTATTTTAATTAGACGCAATATGGTGTATATTATAATGATTTGATATAAATATATAAAATTTGTTATTATCTGACGTCTACAAATACAAATTAGAGTAATAATATTTTTGTTCCACAACTACCATAAATAATTGATTAAAGTACGAAGTATTTCTTCAATAATTGGAATAATTATATTAAAACTTCTTTTATCTCATCTTCAACAATTGCATATACTTACAAAATATGATTTGATTATAGTCTAAAACAAATAAAGTGAAATGATATTTCTTATATTATAAAGATTCAATACATGACTGTCCATATTCCAAAGTTAAAAAAATAAAAGTAAAAATAAAAATAAGGAAAGTTGGTTAATTTTATGATAAGCATCAATAATAATTTTTTTTATTGATACAAATATTCAATTGAACTAAAAAAATACTAGCAAATTTATTCTATTATCATTTTATTTTTTTAACAAGTATTTTAGAAATTAATTTTTTAATCATTTAACATTTTTTTATCTATTTTAGTTTATATTTTATTTTAATATATTAATATTTTTCATATTTTTTAAATGAGTATAAAAAAAATATTTCATATTTCATAAGAGTTTAAAAATATATATTAAATTTATACATTAATTACAGAGATATAACAACGAGTCTTTTTTGTTAAGATAATTTATTTATTATCTCATAGTTTTATAATATAATTACACAAGTTTATTTATATATTGATTATACTAGTTTAATCATTCTATTACATTAGGTTAGTTCAACTTTATCTATTTTTACATATCATTTATATTTTTAAAGAGTTTTCTATATTTTTGCATATATTTTATCTTTTATATTTTTATAAATTTATTATTTATATTTTCTATAAACATAGTAACTTTTAAACCTATAAATTACTTTTAAGATTTTTTTTAAACTTAATTATAAATTTAAAAATATTTATTATTTTAATGATTCCTTACTTTAAAACTAGTTAATAATTAAAGAACTATGCTATAATTCCCACTATTGCTTATTCAAATAAATAGCTTTTGGAGTGCCTCCTGATATTTCCTCCTCCTCAAACCTCCATCACACATCTCTCTCAGACGTACGGTCAGACACTGTTCTTCAATTTTCAATCTTCCAGAGCACACGCACACAGATCTCACATTTAACCTTCAATGCTTCGTTTTCTTGTTTCCTTCTATCAATCCATGGATTCCAATTCTCTCATCAAAATTCGTTTTCCAAACCGCATTCAAGCTCTAACCGTGCTCGCTTCGCTTTCATGGAACGAGTTTTTGGTGTTTCTCTTTCGCCTTACATCGGTGAAGAGTTTTTTTTTCTTCTGAATCCGTTTGATTTCTTAAAAACCGCGCGAGAAGTACAGGTAAAAATGAAACCGAAGAACTGACAAGAAACGGTGATCTTAATTGCACCGTACCCTAACTGTTGCACATATTTCTTCTCTTTTAGATTACTTTTGGCGAAAGAAGAATTGTTTTTCTTTGTTTTTGGTACCATCGCGGCATCAGAGGGTGCTTTTCTTGTCGTGCACTTACCGGTATATTTTTATGTTATATAGGTTAGAGATGTTATTTAATCTCTGAAGCAATGGTAACTTTCGGTGGAGACTTGCGTTTGGATCTCAGGTAACTAAGAACTTACATGTACGGTGTATGATAGTTTAGTTGTATTCGATAAATAGATGTGTTATTATTCTATTTTCTTTTTGCAACTTTTAGTACACTTTGTTGGTTCATTGCTTTGGTTATATCAATCAAATTTAGAGTTCCATTGTTTGATCTTTTAAAAAAATATATCACACAACAAATATAATTTGCACTATCTCTCTTAATACTTTATTTTTTAATATATACAACTTTTCAATTCCTTTAAAAGTAAACTTTACCCCGTCGAATTGCTTAATTTTTTGTTTGCCGGTTGCTTTTTCTTAGTTTTTTATCCACTCGCTAGGATGAGTATCGTGTTGAGGAATACTTCCTTCGGTTTCAACGGTGGTACTGCACTGTATAATTAATCACCTATAGTTTTACGTAGATTTCACGGTAAAAAGTGTAATACTCTTCTGTTTCGTGAGTTGGTCGATGTTGCTTCTTCTAGCACTGTCCTTGAAGAAAAAAGAGCGTTGACAGGATTAGCTATCCTTGCAGTCGACACGTCTAGTCCAATTCTCATCAAGTTGATGGAATATAACATGGTGGAAATTTGTAATGGAACAAACCACTATGGAATTCAATTAATGTCTAAGATTTTCTTTAGGATGCTTTTCGCTAGTCACATGTAGTACCGTGTTTTTGTAATTGTCTTTCTTATTCTATCCCTGTTTTTGTGCTTATTTTTTCTGGCAACATTTGGGATGTAGGGTAATGAGTTTGCAGACGTTAGTGGTTTTATTTCCACATTTTCTGTGTTAACTTTTTCCTTCTCAAATCATATTTTATGTAACACTATTCTTCATGGTGTGGCATTACGTAATATTATTTTTTTATTCCCATTTTCAATTTTGAGGTGCTTTTGTTGTTTTTACTTTGTGAAATTAAATCCTGTTAACTAGTTTGATATACCCTTGTTTTAGAATATTTCAACTTTTATGAAGGTAAATAAGTTAGAATTTGAGATGGAATAAGTCCATTCACAAAGCTTAGCCCTATGTTTGAAAACAACTTAGATTTAAGCAACATTGTGTGAATTTTCATAACTTCCTTTGACCTAATTTGAGATAATGTGCTCATGCTTCGCATCTCTTGGGAGGGTTAATATTGGTTTATCCTTTAATTTACTCTAACCTTGTTTGATGGTAAGGGTGTATTTTGAATTTTTCATTCAGTACAGTACATACGGGTGATGTAGGACATTATGAATAAACTAGAAGCCAATATTTTAAGAGAGGGTTTTGGAGAGCAATATGAAGTAGTCTATTATTTTTCTGCTTGATTCATTAGAATTTACAACTTTCGAAAATAACCATAACAGAATTGCTTGTGGTTCTATATAATATTAAAATATTGGGTTTGTTACTACCTCAACCTCAAGCTAGCTCGTAGAGACAGGACTGTCCCTCCACTTTTATACGCCATTTTGACCATATTACTAATCAATGTTGGTCCTTCAACAGAATAAAATGGTAGCCTTGATGAACTACCATGGATGCCTTCATCGAGCTACAAAGTTTTTATTGATGTTATAAGACAAATAAGTTTGTAGACATTGTCTATCTTTTCACTCTTGTTCCTTTTAGTTTTAAAATGTTTCGAGATTATTTCAAAACAGAAAACCTAAAATAATTTTCAAACTAGAGATTCTTGTTTGTTGATGACAAATAACTTGAGGAATTCAATGACACAACCACTTCACAGCATGAAACACAAAAACTACCCATATCTCAACCACTTTGTTATGTTGCTGATGATGCCAACTTTTTGAGCTTTGACTAGTCAATCGAGGAGGCATACAAGGAGCTTGCTATGGATGGTAGAGACTTTGTTGTATTGAAGGAGCTTGCCATTGAGTTGAAGATTGATGATGTTGTTTTGGCTAAGCTAGGTGTCATGGCCTCACTTCAAGGCCATCACCACTTTGTAGGTTGACATCGTCTATGTAGCACGAATACTGATACAAAAACTGGACATGAACGCAAACATTTTGACATGAGTAGTCTCTAAAATGTAGGACATGGGAACACAAATATATATATTAGATAATTATGAATTATTTAATTTAACAATCATTATTTATATACACAAAATCATCTATAGAAAAAAGTTAGTTAAATATAATAGTCTAAACATATTCTCACCTAATAGGAAAATAAATCTAATCTATCTATCTCATATCCAAAATGTGAAAAATAGTCATATAAAAATTGGTCCCACCATGGACATCATCTATGTAGCACATATATGATACAAAAATTAGACATGAACATAGACACTTTGACATGTGTAGTCTCTAAAATGTAGGTTTGCAACTCGATTCTATATATTAGATAATTATGATTATTTAATTTAACAATCGATATTTATATACACAAAATCATCTACAAACAAGGTTAGTTAAATATGATAGTCTAAACATATTGTAACCTAATATATCTAATATCCAAAATGTGAAAAATAGTCTTATAAAATTTGGTCCTTATTTCTATAATCATAATAGAAGTTTATGCAATAAGTTTACAAGTTTATGAGTTTTTAGAAAATCATTGTATTTGTTCTTGTTCAAATTGTGTTGGAGCCATGTCAAAATTATGTCAGTGATGTTGGAAGTCTCACATCGAATAGAGATAAGGGCAATTTAGAATATATATGTGGGTGAAAACCTCACCCTTCAAGTCGATTTTGTGGGATTGAGTTAGGCTTAAAGTCCACTTCTTAATATAGTATCAGAGTCATGGGTTAGAGCCTATGCATGAGATGTATATACTTCGACGTGAGGAGGTGTGTTGGAAGTTCATATCGACTAGAGATAAATCCAATTTAAAACCTTAACCTACAAGCTGGTTTTGTGGGGTTGAGTTAGGCTTAAAGTCCACTTTTTAACAAGAGACAAGAAAAAATGTCTTTTAAATAGGAAACTTCCTTGATATATGTCGTATGATTGTCATACACGGGTCGATTTCCTAGATGTTTTGGACATAGGGACACACCATTTGTGAGACATGTCCGATTTTCATAAGACATTGTTCACCTTTAGCCTAACTTGCCTAATGATAGATCATAATATATGATCACAAACATATTAGCTATATTAGAATTTTTTTATTTTTCCCCTCCAGTGTCTGAAATAGCTAGTTCCTGCCAACACAAGAATAATATACATACCAAGTTCTATTACCCAATCTTAAATAATTTTCATACAATGATTATCATGAGTTCTAAATAATTGTAGTTACACATGTCATGTACTACTTTGCCTGACCTACTGGAATCCAAGTAGAAAAGGAGAAGTCACATATCTATATTTGCATCATATTGAAGTCAATTATTGAAAATAGAAGCATAATATATTGTATTTATTTAGAATGCCGTGTTGGATGATAATCTTGATAAAGCTTACATACATGGAACAAAAGAGCAAACTATGTTGCTTAGGGGGAGTCTTCTACTATGGTTTGTCGGGCTTCACAAGTTCCTATATGGAACCAAATAGTCCCCTCAAATCTATTTTGGTCGCTTTCTTACTGCTGTGCAACAACTTGGTATGATTTGTAGTAAAGTCTATCACTCTATCTTCCATCACCATTCAACTCAGGGATGCATTCATCTTATGTTTGTAAATGATAATTTCCTTATAAGCTTTGGTCGGTGTAAATTCACAACCTCAAATAGTACCTCTCGTGCCAGTTCTAGATTAAAGACCTTGGTAAGGTATTTCCTAGGTTTCAAAATTGCTCAATCCAAGGATGATTTGGTGACCTATTAGAGGAAATTTGTTCTTGACATCTTGCCAGAAACTGATCTACTGAATGCCAAGCAAGTAGAAACTTCGATGAAACCTCATGTTAGATTGCTATCCAATTAGGAGGAGCCCTTATTGAAACTGAGGAATTATAGAACCGATTGGAAAATTGAATTATCTCATACTCATTCATCCATATGTTAGATTGCTACCAAACTGGGAGGAGCCCTTATTGAATCTCGGTGAAATATAAGATGTTGATTGGAAAGTTGAATTATCTTCAGTCATTCATCCACCACATGTTCCCTGTGCAGTAAGTGTGGTGAGTCTATTCTTGAACTCTCCTTGCCAGAAGCATTAGGATGTAATAATGGAGATAGTGAAGTACACTAAGAGTGCTGTAGGAAATTGTGTCATTTATAAAGACAAGGGGCATGCTCAGATAGTTGGTTTCTCAGAGATAGTCCGACTAGGTCAGTTCATCCAATGGTAGGCGATATGCTCCTGCATGTGTCCTGATTGGATTAAAATTGGTATCCTGGTACAGTAAGAAGCAAATTGTTGTAGTGAGATCAAGTTCTGAAACAAAATACAAGGTCGTGATTTTACTAATGCGGCGGATACTATTTTGAGAGAGTTCAAGATTGAAGAGACTGCACAAATGACAATGCGATGGACAACATAATCATCACAAATAAAATTACATCAAGCTACCAAGATTGTCTTGCATCATTCAGTTATATGGTCATTCATCACAATTTGCTTTCAATCTGTTAGTTGTTCATTAAATCTTACATAAAGTCATCACTACCACCATTTTAGTTTTCTCGTGGGTTTCTTATACTCTTCTATTGTACTCCGTCTTGTATCATTGACATATTTTATACCCTCATTATGAAACTCCAATATAGAAAATCTCAAGAAGGGTAATAATAGAGAAGACCTCTTCAAATTGAAGAGGACTACTGTGAAAAAATAATGTTTAAATAACAAGCTGAGGTTGTTAACTGTAAAAGGGAATTAAAATAATATGATATGATTAGTTGAAATTATATATATATTTTCTATTTATAACCCAGTTCTTGATTAAAATACTTTTCATGTTTTTTACTTGATATGAATAGAATGATTAGCATTCGGACTGTCTGCTTTGTGTTTATACTTTTATGTCTCTTACACGCTCTTGTTAATGTATTCTTTATTGAAAGTTTGCGTGTTAATTTTGTGAATTGTTTTTGTTGGTTAAAATCTGTTATTTGTATTCGGAAACAATTGCCGAGATTTCTAAATTTAGTATCAAGTTAACAACTTGTATACTTTCTGATTTTTTCTATCGAGAATTGAAAGAGGAACTGCAAAGTCCTTGCCTTACTTTTACTCTACAATGTTTGATTTTTAACTATTGCCTGTGGGTGGAATAAAGCTTACCACGGATTCGACTTAAAATCACTCATTCTTTTTGATAGAAAAAATATATTTTGGTACTAAATTATTATTTGGAATTGAGTTACATGAACTAAATTAGATTCTTTTAGGTTTACTGTTATACATGTTCAAGCTCAATATATATAGTTGCTCTGTTCAGTCAATTTAGAGAACTATTAATTTGTTTGCCCTTCTTGACTTCTTTTGAAAAGACTTTATAACTTTTAAAAACTAGCATTGACACTGTTTAATGAAGATTCATGAATTGTATTGAAGATGTTCCCTCGTGTAAGAGCCCTTTGGGCTTGAGGTATGGTTAAGTGTGCAGACTCACTACATTGTGCTCAAAAACTTCTATTTTAGAAGAAGGGAAGTGGTAAAGGATCAAACTGTGTACCATTTGGTCATATACAGGTTTTGATATCATGTCTACACTCTGTAGTGATTTACAATCATAATGTCATGTGGTGTCTGTGGAGGTCCGATTTTCATGATATCACACCCAGGAATTTTGATTATTTATTGGTTGTGTTCTTTCCAACATTAATATTTTTTGCCATTGCCTGTTAAAAATAAGTACATAGTTAACGCAATAGTGTGTTTGTAAGGTGTAGATTATAATCATGGTTTGATTCTCAACAGCCATGGTTGTAAAAGGTCAGTTTTAAAATGCAAGTTTCTTGCTAAATTATTTGCATATTGATTTTTGCCATGTATCTGTGTCACATTCTTAAAGTAACATCATGAAACTGTACTTTAAGAGCTTTCTTTGTTTTCCAATTTTTATATATCTGATTTTCTAGAAATATAGTGATCTCGACTCCTACGCACCTTCGTAAAATTTAGCTTAGTATAGATTACTTGTTTCCTTTTCAGTTCAAATAAAAACGATAATGTTTCATGTCTCTTGACCTGCTAATAAGCTTCATTAATTCAGTTGTTTTTCCTTTGGAAGTGATGCTATCAAGTCAAGAAGAAAAAGTGATAGGATTGTATTAATCATTCATTTATAAACTTTAAGTGGAATTTAGGTTGGTGATTGTGATTATATAAATGGATTCCTTTCAATTGTTGTAGGTATTTCTTTTCTTGCATAGGCCTTTAAAGTCATTTCACCGTTTGTATTTGTTCAGTTGGAATCAATATAAAATTGCAATGATTTTATCTGATGTATTACTGACAGCATGGTTGCTTTAACATCTTTCACCCATTTAAAGGTCAGTAATAAATTTTAACACATAAAACTGATAAAAGAAACTACACATCTGTGTGGTTTGAAGAATTTCTTCCTTAATTTGAGTCTTTGCTTCTCAATAGGTTCTTCATTGGTTCTGACATACATGCTAGGGTTGGTTTTCTTTTCTTGATAACTAGATATTTAAAATAATTAGTTTGGGGTCTATATGCCAGAACATTTATATAAACACATCATACTTAAAATCTGAGTCCATTTTTCTTAATAGCAATCGAGAAACACATGTCCTGTAAATGGATCAATGCAATTGCAATCTGCTGCAACAATAAAAATAAATCTGATATCAATGCTTTTGCAACATGATTATTGGTCTACTAGTTAAAATGATAGAAAGATCATACCCCAATTTTGCAGTTCCTGAAGGAGCCTTATAGTGTTGCTGTGGCTGGCTTAGCTGGAGATTCACGGGCACATGCAAATCCTCTCCTATGCCTAGACCATTTGTGAGAACATAATCTCTGTTTGTTTCGCTATCATCTTTTGTTCCATGGACCTGAGTTAGTAAAACTCTTTTTAAAGTTCAGGATAAATAGTAAACAAGGTTGTCCTCATTTAGAAAGTTGGATCATTCAGTTTGAGAAGATTATTTTAGTTTGATCTGCCATCCAAACCAATACCTTCTTTTTCAATTCCATGTTTTCTTGACAAATTAGGTTTACCTTCTTATACAGTTCCACATTTTCTTGGCGTATGAGGTTTCCCTGTAGAAAGTAAAAGGAATATTTTAACTAACAAAATACTTAGATCATTAACTTCTCTGTTTAAAGACTGACCTTTCGATTTAGGTCTTGTATTTCATCCATTAGAAGTTGATCCTGCATATGCCAATATCATGTTAACTATTACATCTTTATCTTCAAAATTGAGCTCACATTTTTTATAGAGAATACAAACCTTTTTCATACGGACACCGCGAAGGCTAATTTCTAATTGGTTCTCCAAATTTTGTAATTCTTTGACTGTCAAACCTGACAGTTCCTCCCCCATGATTTTTCTGCCACATCAAACTAGAAGTAAAATTGTATGTATTGAAAATATGGAACCTTAATGGATATTTCACTATAAAGATTAGAGACAAATAGGACACTGAAAATATAATCTTGAAAGTACCTTTTTGTGTGTATTTTAAATTATTTGACAAGCCTTAAGAGATACACATGTTTATTCTTCTATAATTATAAGACAATTTATCTCATGAATAATACTTGTAACAAGTTGAGAAACCGACACTCTGTGGCTTATGTATGATATGCGTGCGTTAATGTATATTTTAGAGCAGGATTGTTCACGGCCAGAATTTAATTCTGGCGGTTATTCCAAACCGGTGAGTAGAGGGGAAAGATGAGAAAAATGAAGAAGGGTATCCTCAAATCCAAAAAGAGCATGTCACAGAGGCCAACATGGTTGAGGCCGTGGATGCTGGAGACAGTGGTGGGAGCGTCTTCAACGATGCAGAACAGTGGCGAGGATGGGTTTGCGGAGGTTAGGCACATGCATGAGAACAGTAAACCTTGCCATTCTCGTAAATCTTTACTACAGTTTTCCTATCTGGGAACAAAACAAAGGAACAGTGCTAGAATGGTAAAAGTTTCTAAACATGCCTATAAGACTCATGCTAGAGCCTAGTTGGTATTCGTTGAATAATATAGAATGTGGGTCATTGAGATAATTTTTCTAAATCGTTGAAGTTACTAAACCTTAACAACTATCTTACTCTTTAACATTATTGTTATTATTTGAATGTGGAATGCCTTTTATTACTCTATGTTGTTTTAAACATTTTCGTTCATCTTTATGAAGGTATGTACACGTCTATGTTATATTTCGCTCCATTCCAACCACCTTCTAGCAGTGTTATTAGCAGCTTTCAGTTGATGTCTGTCGCTCTCTACCTCTCGTGAGATGCCTGATTTTTTCCAGTTGACTTTTGAATATTTCTGGGTGGTTCTAGTTAAGTGTGTTTGTTTGAAAGAAGTAGAGCATATAGTTAAGTTCCAGCTCAAAGGAGGTTGTCAGAATTCTAGTGTAGATTTACTAAAATTTATTTAGCACGTAATTCAACACTGTTTTCAAAGTTCGAACTTTGAAGGATACAGCATCCTCCTTGAACGACAGAATATTAGTCAACTATACTTATGACAGTATTAGTAGGTGTTAATTAGCTATTCAGTTCTCCCTAAACCCTAAAGTTTGTTTCAACAAAAACAAATGTTAAAAATCAACACATAACAAATATAGCGAGTTAAAACACTAGCATAATGCTTTTAATGACTTCTCTTGATTTTCCATAAATTATGTAATTCAATGAGGAAAATACTCGGGATCTACAGCAGCCAAATTGACTTCATATCCTGTGTTTTTTTTAAATCATTGTCCCTGAAGTTGTAACGGCATTTTGATAAAATATAAAGTAATAAAATACAATATTTAATCGAGAACAACGATACACTTGGAGATGTCAAAATGAATTTTAACTCATGAGTCAACTTTCCTCTGTTGGAACAATTAGTCTATCTGGTGTGAAGTCGGAAGGACTTAAGTAGGGAGTAGTATGTGGGTTATCTATTTTATTGTACCTAGTTGTTTAGGATAGTCTCTTGACCTTTCATCTCTATAGTGTATCAACTTTTTATCAATATAAATAGTAGAACATGAGAAGGGTCTATTAAGTCCTCTAAGATTATATTTCTTTATTTTTAATCTCAACTTGGTATCATAGTAGTTTGATCCTGCTCTATTTTCTGTTTTGTTTTATATGTTGGCACTAATAATCATTGTTCGCTATTGTCAAACTTTGTTCGTTGTTTTCCTCCTCTATCAATAATCTGTCCACTGTCTTTTAAAACTGTCCAACTCTATCAATCATGATTCTATGCTAGTTCGTTGCCATCCAACCATCATCCATCGTTGTAGTTTTGTCATGCGACCATCGGATTTGGACTCCAAGCGATGACCAACCCTATCAGTGCAGAGGGCTGGCTAGTTTGCTACCACGCCTACCATCTCTGTTCGTTGTAACCAGACGCATGTTGTCCGTTGCCATCCATTCATCCAAACGTCATCGCACTACCTTCATAGTTGTTGTCGGACCCTCTCTTTATTATGATCCTTGAAACAAATAGATCCTTGAAACTTCATTTCAGTGAAGTTTAGAAGCCACCCCTATGGAAGTCACTCTAGGGTTTTCATTTTTCATTGTTTTTTTAACATCTTGTTTTTTGTTCCCATGATCAAAGATGGCAATTGGAAGTGTTATTTCACTCTTTGAAAACTCCTCCATGAGAAGCTAAATAGGAAAATTTATCTCTTGGTCTATTGTTGTTGAAATGTGGTTTCTTAGTTAAGGACATCATGGCCATTTTGAGCATGATGGAAGTCATGTGCCTACTGAAAAAGCTTAACAATGGAAACAAGCATATTTTCAATTGTGTACCCTATTTTGACAATGTGGAACCAAGATTTCTAATGTCCCATAGAGCTTTAAAAACATGTCATTCTTTTTGGAAGAAAGCTTAAAACATCTATGCCAATGATATTTAACGTCTCTATGATTATGCAAACAAGCTTGAATATCTCAAAATGACAGACCATAATATGATATATTTTCCAATTAGTTGTGGAAGAATTGAGAATGTTCTTGGAAGTCAAATCTTGGGAGGAAATCAAGAAAAAACTTAACAAATATTATATGGTGATGATCCTTCTATGGCATCCATACTACGAAGATGTATTGTGATAATCAAATTATTCTCCACATTGCATCAAAGATAGTGTTTAACGAGAAACCTAAACATATAGAAAATTATTATCATTTTATTCGTAAAAAGAGTTGTTGACAAAAGAAATATGTACTGAGTTTGTTGGATCAAATGATCAACTTGTAAGTGTGTTGACCAAATCCTTAAGGGGACCTTAGATTGAGTTTATTTGTTTTAAGTTTGGTACATACATTGTATGGTCTAACTTGATGGCAAGTGTGGAAATAATTATTCTATTTATGATTAGTGAAGTTAGAAAAACTAAAATAAAGTGTAGTTATTTCTATTTATTGTACTTAGTTGTCTAGGACGGTCTTTTGACCTTCCATCTCCCTACCGTATCAACTTTTTATCTATATAAATAGTAAAACATGATAATGTAGTTATTTTGTTGTTTTTAGTCTAAACTATCAAAGGTTGAAGTGAGTCTCACTCACTTAACCCACCCGAAACCCACAACAATAACTCTTTATTAATATTCTTATCACATTTATAAGTTTTTTATTAAAATTATTTATATAGGTTTACAATGTGATACTTTTAAGTACTAGAATATTGTTTAATAATATTTGAATAGTTTAGATATTCAATTTATTTGTTTGTTAAGTTATATACATTGTACTTCAATTTTTAACTATTATCTTTATAATAATATTAGAAAAAGTAAACATTTTGATTCTACTATTATAAAAAAAATTGACTCGAGTTAATTCATATTTATTGTATTACAATAAATATATAAATTTTAAAAATAAAATATTTGTAAATAAGTCAATCCTCTAATCATCAACACTATCAATATATGATGAGTCAAATCATATTACAAAAATTCTAAATCATCTAAAGGTAAATTAGAATGATCATATTCATTTTTAGCCCAACTAACGATAAGTCAACTCGATTCATACTTGACTTATTTTGATACTCATAGATTAACTGGCTGTCCTGGCATCAAATTCTTGTACAGAGGTTGTTGCCCACTCAAACTACTATTAACAAAATTATTGCACGCACTACTATATATGATCATAATGCATCAATTTTTAGTTAAAAGAAATCATAATGCGCAGTTGCCACTAGTAAGTTTCTATGAATGCAGTTTTCAATTATGAACAATTTAAGTTGTTTTATATCAGTTGGGACAGATCAATCTATTTATCCATCAAATCTATTAATAATAAATTCATCCAAATCATCTATTGCCAAAAAGTAAAAAAGAAATTGAATCCAATCTATACATTTACTTTTATTATAGTTCAAGATCCTTTAATTAATTTTGAAAGTGTTACAAATCTTTTCATATATATTGAATGGATTAAAATTAATTCAACCTCTTTTTCCATATTTCTGGCATTTTAAAATTTGAAAAATATGACTAATTTCAATTTTGTTAACTGTTAATTTTCTTTTTATTGTGAAATATTCAATGAAACTTGCATACACTTCTCATGAAAGTATATCCATTTATTGTTCAATAACAAAATAAGTCATTAAGAAATGATTCATTGAATAATGGTAATGCCATTAAATGTAACTACGTCAAACCATTGAATTCTATAGGTATTTCTGAAATGAAATTTAAATGTATGGCATTATTATTAATTAAATGTATGGTATTATACTCTTAATGCTGTTTACACAAACTGATCTATTTGGCTCTCTTTGTTCATATGTATGAATAGAAAAAATTATTGAAAATGCTGAATTGTGTCAAATACACAAGCATTTTGTTTAGTGATTGGTCAGGTATCAGTAACAGCATAAATACTGCAGAGTAATTATATCCTGAAACAGCTTCTTGATCACATCAAATTATCAAGTATGCAATAACTCTAGTTGACACTACCATGTTAAATACGCTAATAATCTAGACTCTTTTTTTAAAATGTGGATTTTTCTTTTAAACTCGACTATAGAATAAGCATATGTTCTGATAAGGGATGTACCGGTGGCTTTCTTGCAAATTGTGTAATTGTTGCCTTAACATTGCTGCCTCCCTTTGCCAAAACTAAAAATTGAAAGAAATAAGTAAAGGTCTGATCAGATATTACTGGAAGGGGAATCACCAGATATATATGTCTTATCAGAAATAAAGTTTAAGGCTTTCATAATTATTTAAATTAAATGTTACACAGAAAAAAAATATTATGAATATGCATTATGACCCGAATAACATAAGAAACCACCATACTAACAGGTGCCAGCACCAAATTATTTATTATTTAGTAGTTGATGTTGATATTTTAAACTTGGTTCTTTGTTTTTCTTTGCTTACAAAACTTGTCGAAAGGAATTACTTTAGCTATCAAGTTCAGTTGATTACAAACCAAAACATATTTTTCTACACTGCAATTATTTCTGTATATGATGCAATCGAACAAATATAAAAGAGTAAGAGATCTCAGAAAACCATGACTTCTTACATTTGAATGTTTATGCTTTGAAGATTTCTATTTTTAGTTGGAAGGATTTTTTCCTTTAGGTATTAGTTCTATTTGTCAACACTTTAGTTCCTCTTTAAATATGTGGTTCTAATCATGTGCAGGTTACGGTGTCTTGTGGAGGGACGGAAACATTATAAGTATAAGAAGGTTTTGAATTTATCATGGGATTTTAAAATAGGTTACTTTAGGGAATTTGTAGGTCAATATGAAAGGCTGAAATTGTCTTCCCTAGTTCATGTGTAAGTAAAACATGTCACATGTTTTAGGAGAAAATTGGTAAAATCACACTTTTGGTTTATAATCATGTCAACCAAGAACTGAGACGTCCTGCTATATTCTTGCTTTTATGTTTAGCATACATACTGGGTACTGATCTCAAGGAAAGTGTTCATAGATTTTAGAATAATTTGTTGCATTCTATCCTTCAAAGAGTTTGTAATGATGTGCTGAATCCTGAACTTGAAAAGGGTGGAAGTGCTCCAAAACAATTTGCTAAGTTGAATTGTTGCTCCAAAATAATGAAGTTTTTTTTCTTTGAACTTGAGAATTGTGGTGTCTTAATTCATCAATACTCTGGAAAGAAAAATGAAGAAACTTGCAACTTAAAGATGCAAAAGTTACATTACAAAGGATATTTTCATTCATATCTTTTTCAAATTCAGGCATTTCTAATGCCCTGTGCAATTGTATAATAATCTCCGAAGTGATTCACGTGTGCATTTTAAGTGCCCACGCATAAGGTTAGATATTTATAAATACCTTAATTTCGGAGGCCGAACTCCCAAGTTGACAATTTTCTTCTTTTGATTTGTTGTATCGGTCAATAACTGATTTCATGCTGGAAAATGTCATTCAAAATAAAAAATGCGTCAGACTTGTGCTCTGCTGACTGTAACATTCAAGTAAAGAAATTAGGACCTTACTGTGCAGATTCAACTAAGTAATATTTGTGCCTCAATAATATGTCATGAATTTGTAAACTTCTTGACATGTCTTGGAATGAGATTTTTAGTTGATGTAGTAGTTATGAGTCATCACTTCAGCTCTGGTCATTTTTTCCCTAAGTCCAAAATTCAATACCCCTGGCTGAGGGGTAGCTTCAAAGTTAATGCCTCTAAGTACTTGGTCAAGTAAATAAAAAAGAATTACTTAGTTTTAAAAGGAAAAATTATATATAATTTGATATGTTGATAAAGTCTAAAACTAAGGCTGGTTTAATAGTAAAGTTGGAAAGAAAAGTGAGAAAAAAGTTGTGGATTCAATTATTTTTTATTAACATTAAGGAGATATTGTAAAACCTCATAAAAATGGTATTTTAGAAGTGGTGGTAGTCTAAAAATAGTGAGACTCGACTATTTTAATGTTAAATAGTTTTATTATAAATAGTTTTGTTATAAACAAAGTTTCATTATTTTAAAATGTATCATTTATTTAGAAATCACTTTTATAGAGTTCTCTAACTTCTCTCTAAGAGTTCTAACTCCTAAGTCATCTATTTGACGATCAGGAGGTGTCTAGACAATCACGGCGTCAAAGTCTATAAATCCAACCGATCAATTTCTGTTTTAGAGCAAGTAAGTTTCTACTCATTTTCTGTCCTCTTTGCTTCGGTCAATGATCATGTACAGAATTGTTATGCATGTATCATTTAGTTCTCTTTTCTTGCTCTTGGTGAATTTAGAGTTTTAAGAACTCTGTCCATTTCAATTTTGGTGTCTCGTAGGTTTGTTTAGGAATTTCTTGCGTTTTAAGCCACTGACGGGACGTTTCTGTGGGTTGAGGTTTTTTCTTGTAAGGTAAGGGAAACTAGAACTTATTTTAGTTGTGTTTATATTATAAATTTGGTGTCTCTATGAGTTATAGATGATTTTGAGAAATTTAGCATGATTGGGTGTATAAAATGTATGTTTGATTGATGATTTTGATAGTGTGATGTTGAATATAAGTGGTATAGTGTGATTGTGATGATTAATACTGTTATAATTGAGTATGATGATGATGTTGAAATGTTTGAAACTGAATTCAAGTGGTTGTGTGACATATTGGTCAAGTTACTTGAGTTTCAAGCTTGAAAGAGAGGTTTTGGTGAGTGAAATTGAGAATTTGGTATTGGAGTGAGATGGCAACTGGTCTAGCACTTTAGATCGTTGAAAACTGATATAGAGCAGAAATTAGGGTTCATTGTTGAAGTTTTAAAGTGTTTTAGTGGAAAAAGGGAAAAGGGGAGGGGGGGGGGTTGAGTAGTAAGAATTGGAAGTAAGAGGTGTTGACTGTTTTTTACAGTTGGGAGTGTGTTATAAGACCCATTAGGACTTGTCTAGGCTGTTAAATGAGAAAAATCTCGTATAGGACAGTTGGTGTCATCTTAGGATGAGTTCTTAGAGGTTCTTTGCCCAATTTGAGGTTTTGAATGGTGAGATCTTGAAACAGAGGGACTGTGAGCAATCTAGGGTGTTGGGGTGTACTAGCAAGTGTGTTTGGACGTGGTTATGCAGTTGGGAAACTGATATAGGGGTTAAAAAGTGTGCATTTGAGTTTAGGTAGCTTATAGGAGTAAATTTGGGTTTTCATGGGTCAATTTGAGTTTGGAGTTGTCAAGTCAAGTTAGGGGTATGTTTTTCAATGTTTCTAAGTGCCTAAGAGTGTTTAGGAATCATTTAAACTTGTATAGAGGGTCACCAAAGTTCAAATAGGTGAATTTTAGAACCTGGTGCAGCACTGGGCACCCTCCAAAGGGCCCCTGGACGTTTTTGCGAGAAGAATTTGTTTGGGCACCCCCTTAGCACTCCTGTTCCAAGGGTCTGGCGCCTGCCCCTTTTGGTTTTTTTTTCGGTTTTCAGGATCTCAAATTTGGGGTTCCGGGTGTCCGTTTTGGACGTTCTTTTTCTTGATTTGGGGATTTTTGACCCTTCCGGAGCTGTTGGTGAGGGTTTCAAAGATTTTTTACTTTTCTAAGTATGACTTTAAAGAGATTTTGTGTTGTTTAGTGGTTCTTCTTGGACTGTTCTTGTGTATTAATGTACAAGGAATGATTTCATGTGATTTTTTATGACTTGTTGGGTTGCTTATGGTACTTTGATGCGTGATAAGTGATGATATATGTTGATATTCAATGTGAAAGTAAAGTGACATATGTACATGGTTTCAATGGTATGGAAAAGAGTTCCAAGGAGGAACTTCTCAATGGTGGTTTCCAAGTATTGTAAGTATGAATGTAAGAAGCTCAGTCCTGATGAGTTATCCTGACACTCTAATGATCATCCATACTCAAGTAGAGAGTGATGATGAGTCATGTGGTGAGAGCAACAGGAGGTCTTAGTCTAGGTGCTTCCAGTATGGTCTAAGACGTGGTACAGACTAACCTTATGTGGTAGCTTTGATGGTTGTCACCTATTCCACCACACAAGTGCATAACCCACTATGGTTCTAGCCTGAGGGCCTTTCTCCATCTGACAAAGGGCATGTTGAAGGACTAACCTTGTGTGGTAGCTTTGATGGTTGTCAGTTGTTCCACCACACGAAGGATAGAACATGTTTTAGCTCGACATTCATTGTATATCCGGATAGTCAAGTCTAAGTTTGTTGCATGTTTAGGATTGACGGTTATGTTGTGTGAGGTCTAAAACATGTTGTAATGTTGTTTTATTATGATAAGTTGTTTTACTACTAGCTTACCCTTGCTTTTGTCTTTGTTTGTCTGTATATGCTTCTCTTTTGTAATGATCACCTTAAATGGTGTGAGCTTAGAAAATGATTTTTCGTCTCAGCGTGAAGAGTAGGGTGAAACAATAGCATATATTGAAAGTATTCTCTAGGTGTGTGATCTCCTTTCTCAATAGTTTTATAAAATAAGTTTCTGGTAAGTTATCATCTATGTAATGTTTTATTTTGATAATTTTAGTTTAGTAGGAAGCAAGGATGACAGAGACTGTAAATTATAAAAAAGAATTATATTTGTAAAAAATAATAATTACAAATTTTAGTGAATTTTACTTTTAAATCAAGAGTCATTAAAAGAGAGATGAAACCTGCGAACTTTTACACTTCTCAATCACTTTCAGCTAATAATAGAAAGTTTTAATTGTGTTTAAGATCCAAATTACTTTTGCATGCTAAAGTTGATAAAGGAAATACAGAAGCATAGTATAAGAGAAAGAGGATAGTAAGAAATAAAAAAAAAACAATCCAATTAAAAAATATATTATAACATTTTTTAATAAATATTAATGAATAAATATTAATAATTTTAACTCATTATTAAGTTCTTGGAAAGTCATTGTAATAATTTAACACTTTTGTTTTATTTTAGGTTTTTAATTCTTTGTTTTTAATTGAAAGTTTTATTACTTTGATGTATTAGATTGCTCCAAGCAATTGTTTGTGTATTTGGTTTGATTATTTTATATTTCTGCTTTATATTAAGAGATTTTTTTTAACTTGTGGTATTACATTGCATATTACACCAAAAAAGAGCTCTTCACATGTTATATGGTGATTTTGGAGTGTTAAAGATGTGTATTTACATATTATTATTATTTGTTAGGTCTATTATTTTACTTGCTATTAAACCGTTATAAGACCATCATCTATTAATGTTCAGTCTTAGATTTGAGATGTATATGTTTCGGTGTGAGGAATGATATGTTAAAAGTCATACATTCAAGTAAAGATAAAGTCAATTTATATTATCTAACTGAGTTAAAATTTTATTTTATAAGTTAGTTTTGTATTATTAAACTAGACTTAAAATCTAATTTTTAACAAAAGTTAATGGTTGTTCTAAAAAGTTGAATCTATACTCTACAAATATGGGAAAAGTTCAAAGAATTTAATGCATTGGTGGAGAGAAAATCAACCAAGAAGTTGAAATATATTTGTACATGATTAAGAATATTCGAACCTTTTGATTTGTGTTACAAACCAGCTAATTATTAACAAAGTAAAAAATATGTGACAGATATGTGTTGGGTTGAACTCTAAAAAGCGTAAAACCTATTTTGTTTCACTTAAGTGAAGTAAAGAGTATTTAGTTAGATTAAGACAAAGTATTAATTTTACATCATTTGGAGAGAGAGAGTAGAAATACAAGTTCATATCATTGAGCAACTTTAATGAAATTTCATTTTCTGTTTTGTTTTCTGTTGGATTGAGAAAAAAATGGACAAGTTATGACATAGTATTCTTTTTGAAAATTCTGGATTGTTGATTTATAATATTTTCTTAGAGAAATCAATTTCCTACAATACTTTTATTTTAAATTTCTTTTTCTTTTGTTCTTCAAAATTGAAAGCTTTACTCTTGTGATGTGTTAGATGATTATATACTGTTATTTGTGTCCATGAAATTTTACTTCTCGTGAGAAGTATTTTTTTATTGTAAAAAAATGTCTTTCTTTTTAATGGTTTCTACCCTTTTGTGTTATAATTCTTGCACCTTAGAGATTCTTTCAATTGTAAGAATTATTTTTATCTTATTATGATTTTTAGGTATTAAGCTGTTGTTTTCCTCATAGATAACTACAGTAACTCCACCTCAATACTAGTGTTCGGCCAAAATAGATTGAGCCTAAATAATATATTTTTGTTTAGAAGTGGGTGGACATAATATTTAATAACTTGAAATATTAATTTGTCACAATGAAACTCAATCAAGTTGGTTAAACATTTAAAGTGATTTGAGTTATGAAATCTACCACTACAAAAATATTTTGCATAAATATCTCTTAACTCGTATATTTTTATATTATATGCTATTAATTTGTAACTAATTTAAAAGAGATAGTTTTGAAAAAAAAAAACATTTTAAATATTTCATCTACCAGCTTGAAGTTCCATCATA